GAAAACAAAGCTGATTCCATGTGTGTATTAGGAGCCTTTCCTGAGAAGACAGGCTGAAGGCACTGAATTTGCATTCTTTGGGAAGTCATAGAATTAAAGGATATGACTGAAGAGTACAAACAACAATAGCCAATAGGAGTACAAAAAGGGATATAAATAATGTGATAAAAGTACTTAACCATGAGAAGACTTGCAGCAACGGATTCACACTGGGCTACTTTAGATTTAGAAAGGATAGAAGGAAGTACTGGTCTGGCAATAAATGGTCATTATTGATAATATACCTGGGAGAGAACCCTGTCAACATTACACACACCACAACACATCCATATTCATAACACGGAAACAAACTTATTTGCTGTGGAAATTGTTATTTATCAATATCAGCCATGACATGATAAAAATAACAATACTAATATAATACTGACTTTGACTCACGAAATCGTAATGACACGCGGGTTCAATCCCGCCCGTGGTATGGTTTAATACTGACTTTATTTGGCAAAAGTGGGTTGCTGGTCAGAGCTTCACCGCCAACCACCACCACCACCAATGCATACCCAAACAACCTCACTATCTTTCATTATTTAACTGAGGTTAACCTAACATAAACTTCCAGGCAGTGTCACTGAGGCAAAATTCTTACATTAATGGGGAGAAAGGGGGAGAACTAAACCCATATAGGTCATAGATGAAGAAATAGAATGAATTCAGGATAGATTCCAGGAACTGAATCACAAGTCCAATTCCTTAGATCAAGAGCCCCTCACAAGCATCAAGGAATCTCCCTTGAGACAATTATTGAAGCAAGAACTTAGAGTAGCTTTAAATATAGGTTGGATAGGTAAGATAAGTGGGAGATGGATCTGCGTAGCATGGACCAGTAGGCCTACTGTAGTGTTCCTTCACTCCTGTATTCTTGTGAAACTTACTAGACAACTTTATTACTATTGTATATTAGTGTGTTTACTAGGCATCACTCAATGTGCATAAAAGGTTCCAAATTCTCAAATTCCCTACCAGATAACTCCAAAGACTCCCTCTCTGCCAGATGCTTCCCTTATGTAATCCTAATAACAATTGACAAAAACTCTTTTGATTTCTTTCAATTTTTAAAGTGATAGTCTGCCTGCTTATTTGTTTTTGATGTCATTAACCCTTTGACTGTTTTGGTCGTATATATACGTCTTGCGCGCCACTGTTTCAGACGTATTAATACCCGTAAATTCTAGCGGCCTCAAATCAAGCAGGAGAAAGCTGGTAGGCCCACATGTGAGAGAATGGGTGTGTGTGGTCAGTGTGCACCACATAAAAAAAATCCTGCAGCACACAGTGCATAATGAGAAAAAGAAAAACCTGACCGTTTTTTTGGATTAAAACGCTGACTTTGAGGTGTATTTTCGTATAGTATTTATCGTTGTATTCTAGTTTTCATGGTCTCACGTGATAAAATGGAAAACATATTACAGAAATAGATGATTTTGATTAGTTTCACGATGAAAACAACCTTAAAATTGAGCTCAAAGTAGTGAAAATGTTTGATTTTTTACCAATGTTCAGGAGTAAGCAAATCACACCACACATCCAGTATACGTCAACTGGGGAGTCTAATATTCTTTCACTAGTGCACTGATATTATTTATCCATTTTTACAATAATGCATTAGTCTGCATAACAGTAAATTTTGTATTTTTTGTATGAATAAAAAATCAAAATAGAAAGCAATAGTAATATAAGAGGGGCCTAGAGACATGACTAATGAACAGAGGATATGTTATTTTAGTGCCAAGAATGTCTACATTGTTTATTCTGGACCCTATTTTGAAATTGGCATCTTTTTTAATTTGCGTGAAATTGGCCAAACTGCCAATTTCTGACTACTTTATTGGGTAGTTGAAATTGGTAAATGGGCGGTTTCTTGTACTCAACTGATAGAAAAAATGGAGTTCTAAAGAAATACCTATGAGTTTGGTCAACTGGAACATCGGAAGTGGCCAAAAACAGGGCTCAAATTTCGGCGAAATTGCCAATGCATATGTCGCCGAGACCGCTAACTTCGCAGGAGCGTAATTCCATGAGTTTTCGACCAAATTTTGTACTTTTGATGTCATTACCATCGGGGAAAGATTCTCTATCACTTCATCAGAAAAAAAAAAAATTTTCCAAAAATTTTGCGACACAGAATGACAGTTTCAGAAAGGGGCTTGCAACAGTCAAAGGGTTAAGTAGTAACACCATTGTAAACACATATCTACTCTTGATTCTCAAATTTAATAACTTCCATTTTTCTCTGAATTAGTTATGATAAGAGTTGTTCAGATTTTTAACTCAGAGGGTCAGCCACCCAGGATAATCCAAGAAAGTCACAGGGCTGTGGAGTCGGAGTCAGAAGCAATTCTTGGGTTACTGGAGTCAGAGTTGATAAGAATGTACTGACTTGGACTTCTAATAAATTTAAACTATATAGAATATAAATTAAGTAAGTTTATTCAGGTATACACAAATACAGTTACATAAATTATTATACATAGCAGCATATGTGTAGAGAACTTAGGATAACCCAAAAAAGTCAGAAAAAGTGACTTATTTTCATTGGGGGTCCTTTTAATACCTTATTATTATACATACTAGAAAAGGAGATATCTTATTATTACACTATAAAGGAGATATACTAGGAATAAGGTATAATGAACTGTTTATATTTACGTGAGTTATTTATATTTACACGTGTGTCAGCTAAAAAAGAATAAAAAAAAAAATCATTCTCCTCCCATTTTGCCGCTACATTCATCAGACACCTTTTGGCGCTCTTCTTGAACTGGTTCATGCTATGACTGGCTTTGACATGTGCGGGCAGTCTGTTCCATTCCTTTATTGCTGTACAATAAAAGGTGTTTGAAGCCTGGCCACTGACTGTGCGTACTACAAAGCTGTGCTCTCTCACCCTAGTACTAAGATTGCTCCAGTTCCCAGCCTTGATATAATTGGCAGCAAGATATTCTGGACACTGATTATGAGCAATTTTATAAACTTGATTTAACTTCAGTTGTTTTACTATGTCTTCAACATTCAGCATATCTAATTGCTGTAATTCATCCTGGCCTACATGTTCTCTTGGACCCAGGTCCAGTATGAATCTTACCATTTTGTTCTGGGTGATTTGCAGTCTATCTTTCAGTTTTTTTTGTCAGGGCAGAGTGCCATGAAGAGCAAGTGCAGTCCATATGACATTGTATAAGGGCTAGACATAGGGTCCTGTGAGCCTCAGTAGGTAGACACTGTGCTTCCTTGTCTGTGGAGGAACTTCAGTCTGGCATTCACTTTCTTTACTACACTGTTCCCTATCAGTTCTCCTGATATGCATACTTTAATCTGGAAACGGAGGGTTATGTCCCTAATTGAGTTTATTTCTCTTAAAATGGTTATTTATTAAGTTGTTTTTGGTGTTCAATTGCTTTTTACTTTTTTTGTAGTTTTAACTTTGAATTCTTTTTAGTAATATCAAAAGATGTACCTCAGATTTTTTTAACTAGTAGAGACAGATGTTTCTGACTCAGATTTTCTTCTATAGTTTCTTTTACATCCTATTACTTTTTACCTGATAGCTTTTTTTATAAAAATATAACCTCACTGTTTCCATTTTTCAAGTTCTGTCCTTTGTTTAACTATAAGGTTACTGAATGTTTGTAATTTCTTTAATAAATAAAATAAAAAAAGGCAGAATGGCATAGCTATAGTATTTAGCCCCAAGCTTTAACAGGTTACTAAGCTTGTATACTGCATGCTTACAATCCACATAGTAAATATATAATTAGTATACATAATTTATTCCCTATATTGATATACATGTATCATTAAAGGAGTCCGAGTCAGAAGTGCCATAAATAAAGGAGTCTGAGTTGAAAGTTTTATGTGCCGACTCCACAGCCCTGGAAAGTCAGTGTGTTATCGAGGACTGTTTGTCTTACTTCAATTGGGTGTTCTTCAGTCTTGTCCCCCAAGGATGCAACTCACACCAGTCGAATTATTATTATAATAAAAAAGAAGCGCTAAGCCACAAGGGCTATACAGTGCACCAGTCGAAAAACACCCACTTTAGTGCTTGCTGCTAGATAAAGAGGGGGAGCAGTGTAAGGAAATATGCCCAATGTTTCTTCCCATGTCAGGACTGAGCCACTGATACTCAGTGCGTGAGGCAAGAGCATTGATTATGAAAATATTACCGAGCATGATCACTGCTTCAAGAATTCAAGTTCATGAACCAAATGACATCCAATGTACAAAACTGTACCTATAACCTTACTAGACTATAACCCAAATTATTATTTTTTTTTTTTGAGTTCTTGAACTGAACTGAGCTGAAGTTCTTGAACTAAATGTCATCTAATGCAAAAAATAGTACTAATAATGTCATCTATTGTAAAAAAAAAAATAGTGCCTATAAACTTATTAGACTATAATGGAAATAAGTCAGTTTGTCCGACCTTTTTTTGGGGAATTATCCTAGGTAATTTACACATAACTTACTACGTATAATAATTTGTTTAAGTATTTGTGTACCTGTACCTAAAAAAAAAAAGTACCAAAAATAATTTTTTTTTTACAACCAAGTACAATGATATGCCCTTGTAGTCTTAAGTTAGGGTTAATTATTATTATAATCAAAAGAAGCGCTGAGCCACAAGGGCTATACAGAGGGAGTTAGGGTTAAACTTGCCAGAAATGCTCCACATAACCACAGGTTTTTAACATGCACTCCAGGATCACCTATTACTATATAAACATTGTATCATGTTGAAATAAACGTTTATTTGTATTTATAAACAACAGATCATACCTTGTCTCAGGAAAAGATAATAGAAGCTTTGTCAAAGTACTATATACCAGGCACTTACTGAAAACAAATTATTGTATACATTCTAAAATTACTGAACGTTTTTTTGACAACATTTTAACATTGAAAAAGTAAACTCATGTACAATTTGAAGAGTTGTGCTTACTAAAAAAAATATTTGAAAGTATTTATTTAGCATGAATAAATACCCTCGTATTTAGAAAGAAAATGCGAAAACAATGATCGAAAAATTATGTATTTCATAAGAACTGAGAGTAAATTATCGTATTTTAGAGAAAGTAATGAAAATATTCAGCAGGATAGAGCCCTAAATATGACGTCACACCAAAACAAATCATTGAACCAATGAGCAGACTCCATGACATAACCTCAACCAATCAACGACGTCCATGTGAAGCTTCTCGACCAATGATCTTCCTCCAAGTTAGAAACAACACTCGTATGTTTACGCTATAAGCGACAGAATGTACAGAAACCTTGTAAAGAGGATTGGTACCCACTATCCTGACTTTTTAATTTATGAGCAAATTATATGCTTTTGGTGTAATATTACATTATTAGCGTAACGTTATAGTTCTTTAATATATATGTATATCTATATAAATAAACATATATAAATAAGCTAGGCTCAAGACAAAATAACGGAAGAGCATCGTTATGATGACTATGTAATCAAACTTTGTATTATATCCTTTAAAGTGCTAGGTTTAGCAATAGCTTTATACTTATTACGTGGTATTGTGCCGACCAATAGGCGATCTCCACTTGTATGAGGTACTGAGCAATATCAGTGGCAGTCGTCGCTCTGTGAGGAGTGAGACAAGTATCACAGCACCACCACTGTCGTCCCAAAACTCACAGTCATGAAGCTCTTGTTAATCGCTGCTTTCTTGGGAGTTACTTACGTAGAAGCAAAGGTGTTCTTCGAAGAGAAATTCGCCGATGCAGGTAAATGGTTCGTTTTGAGTAATGAAATTTAATTTTGGAGACTTGTATGGGAAGGTGGCCGGTGACTGTATATTGGCAAAAACTTCATTTTGAAGGTTTGCTTAATCTCTTTCTAGTCGAAAGAATTGTTGAAGTTTGTATAATTCTTATAAATTGGCTACTTTGACTTGACAAATTCTAGGTAAATGATTCAAAATAAAAATTGACTATTTGACTTTGCAGTGTTACTTGAAACGTAATTCTGGGTTGGCAATAAATTTGTGAGTTTATTACTGAGTTTTATCAGATTAAAAACTACAATGCACTGTTTATGAAGTCATTTAACGTTTGGACTTTGAGGCAAGCCAAAACTAGCAGTTAAAATATACTGCATCATTAACTTTAACTTTAAATGTTTTAGGTTATTTTAAACAAACTTTTTGTTTACATAGTGTTAAGTGAATTAACACTTAATCAATCCCTTGGTTGTATAAACGGATATATACTGGCACAATGTAGTCCGCACAATAGTCCTCGCAGAACTGTCAAAAAAAAAGACATAGTAAGTTAAATGTTACCTTCCCCTCTTACCCCTCCCTCAAATTTTAAGTTTACAGTAGGGAGCAACACTAGATATAAAATGCCTATGACCAACATAGACTTGGCCATCTGTGCACAGGGAAGATTGCATAGGAGAGAAATGTAACTGTTGTTCAGGAACCTGTTAAATGTTTGCTATGGAAAAAAATGGCTCGACAAGCTATGGCACATCCCCCTCCCCCCCAAATGAAAAGCAGGGGTGCCATGATTACACTGAAAACACAGGTACCAAAGACTGTTCAACTGCCTTTCAGCATGCATGAAGTATTAAAAATAGACCCCTGGCCGTCTTCAAGAAAGTTGGACAGGCACCTAAAGCTGGTACCCGACCAGTTGGGCTGTAGTTCGTATATTGATGTACATGGAGCCAACAGTAACAGCCTGGTTGATTAGGCCTGACCTACCATGAGGCCTGGTCACCCATCTTACTCTCGCCACTGCCAAGTTTACTTTAATGAGTGTAAAATCCATTCTCAAGAGGCAGAAGGCCTCCCATGTGCTATGCCACTCCATCTATGCCTCCAAGGAAACTTCCCCATATTTCTTATTTTAGTTACTGACCGTCCCCTCCCCCTCTGTGGCCGCCCCTTCTAGTCACCCGTCTCTAATTCTTTTGCTGTCCTGGACTCGGTGGTCCCTCCCTTGGCACCTCATTATGTTTTCATCTCTTCTCGATCACAAGTTTGTCAAAAAGACCTTGTACAACACCTACTCCATTGTTTAAATCTCCATTAACCCCTCCTTCCCTTCTGCAACCAGCACATTTTTTCCTTCCCAGTCTCTGTATCCAGTTCACTTCTAACTGGTTAACCCTTTCAGGGTCGATAGGCCCTCTCAGACTTGTTCTCAGGGTCGCCCAAATTTCAAAAAAAAAAATTCTTATGAAAAGATAATCTTTTCCCGATCATAATGACACCAAAAGTATGAAATTTGATGGGAAACTTACGGAATTATGCTCTCGCGAAGTTAGTGGTCTCGACGATGTTTACTCATTGGCGATTTTGCCAACCGAGCCCTATTTTCAGCAAATTCCAGTGTACTAGTCTACAAAAATCATAACTATTTTGCTAGAACTCCATTTTTTTCCTATCGAATGAGTAAAAGAAACCACCCATTTACCGACTTCAACTATCCAATATATGTAGTGGTCAGAATTTAGCAATTTTGCCAATTTCACAAATTTCAAAAGGTGCCAATTTCTGAATAAGGTCCAGAATAAACACATTCCTGGCACTTAAAATATTTCCTCTGTTCATTAGTCACAGCCCCACTCCCCTTACATTCTTTTGCTTTCCGCTTTGAATTTTTATTCTCAAAAAAAATATTTACTGTTATGCAGACTACTGCATTAGTGTAGAAATGGTATAAATAATGTCAGCGCACTTGTGAAAGAATTAGACTCGCCAGTTGTGTATGGGACGCATAGCATGATTTGTTTACTTTTGAACTTTGGTAAAAATCAAACATTTTTGCTACTTTGAGCTCAATTTCAAGGCACTTTTCATTGTAAAACCAGTCAAAATCATCTCTATTTCTGTAACATGTCTTCCATTCTATAAAATGAGACCAGGAAAACTAGAATGCAACAATAAATACCATACGAAAATACAGTGCAAAGTCACTGTTTTAATCCAAAAAGTTTTTTTCTCATTACGCACTGTGCTGCGGGATTTTTTTAATACCATGCACACTAACCACAGACCTATTCTTTCATGTGTAGGCCTACCAGCTTTCTAGTTAGATTTGAGGGCGCTAGAATTTAGGTGTACTAGTACGTCAAAAAACCCTGGTGCGTAAGCCGTACTAGTACAACCCAGTTCTCCCTACCTCTACCTTCAGATTTTCTTTGCAAATTGTGACTTATTTGCAGTGGAATATCTGCAGCCTCAGAGGTAACCAGGGTGAGCTTCAGGTGTTCTCCCAGTATTCCCGTTTAAAAGAACCCAAATTACGCTCGGCTGTTGTCCATCCCATCTAGGAATACGATTTCTTATATTCATCAGATCCTCCTCCCGATGGAACCTTTAATGAAAGTGCACTTCTTATTCTCAACTAGACTCCTGCTGCGTTTAGTTGGAGGCTTTTCTTGCTTCTCTCCCCCTCAATTTTTTAATATGGGTGCTCCTGCTCCTTTTGATCCTCATACTCATTCGCTCTTGCATCAGTCTGCTCTTCCTCGACTGTACTAGACTTCGTGTGGTCTGTCCTTCCGGACTTGCATGACTGCAATCATTTTCCAATCATCCTTGCTTCTTCGTATTCACTACCTCGTAGCCAATGCTGGCAATTTGACCAAGCAAATTGGTACCTTTCTTTGCTTCTGATTTTAGTGAGGTTCCTTCTTCATCTACCACTGAGCTTTTACCTCTTCTCAACCTCTGTGTTAACTGCAGCTTCATTCTTTACCCCAAACCCTCAGGCAGGCAGTCTCAGAAGTGTGCCTTGGTGGTCTCCTGCTTGTGCTCAGGCAGTACAGTGGATCCTCAACCAGCAATATTAATCCGTTCCTGAGAGCTCATCGTTAATCAAAATAATCGTTAGTCAAGTTAATTTTCCCCATAAAAAATAATGGAAATCAAATTAATCTGTGCAAGACACCCCAAAGTATTGAAAAAAAAATTTTTACCACATTAAATATTAATTTTAATACACACAAACTGAAGAAGACATGCACAGTTACATGACACTTACCTTTATTGAAGATCTGGTGATTGATGGGATGGGAGGAGGGGAGACTGTTGATCTTGTTAGTGTTTAGAAGGGGAATCCCCTTCCATTAGCACTTGAGGTAGAAAGTCTTTTTCTGGGGTTACTTCCCTTGTTCTTTTAATGCCACTAGGACCAGCTTCAGTCACTGGACTTCTGTCGCACAACATATCTGTCCATAGAGGCCTGTACCTCTCGTTCCTTTATCCTAAAACGTTTCGCAACATTGTCAGTGTAATAATCACCAGCACGGCTTGCCATAGCTGTGTGAGGGTGATTTTCATCAAAAAAGGTTTGCACTTTAAGCCACATTGCACACATTTCCTTAATCTTTGAAGTAGGCAACTTCTTTAATTTCTCTCCCTTCCTCCGAAGCAGTTTCCTCAGGTGTGGCCTCTTACTGTTGAAGATGCTCTAGCAGCTCATCAGTGGTTAGTTCGTCATTGTCCTCCTCCACCAACTCTTGCACATTCTCCCCACTAACCTCGCCAATATGAGCACTAGTTCCAGGCATTTTCTCCTGTTCACCTGGGTGTTAGTCAACTGTTGTGGGTTGCATCCTGGGGGACAAGATTAAGGACCCCCAATGGAAATAAGTTAGTCCTCGATGATACACTGACTTTCTTGGGTTATTCTGGGTGGCTAACCCTTGGGTTAATCGTTTCTCGGTAATTGTTTCACGTTAAGCCACATCTTCGAGTAATACAGCTGATGGTGGTGCAGCAGCAGCAGCAGCTGCTGCACCTTTGGCAAGAACAGCTTCCTTGATTGCCGTTTTCTTACCCACAATAGTAGCGATGGTTGATTGGGGTTTATTATACAACCTGACCAGCTCAGACACGCACTCCACTTTCATACTTAGCAATGATTTTTCTTCATCTCCATAGTAATTCTCGCCCTTTTTGCTGTAGGGTTGCCACTAGAAGCTTTCTTGGGGCCCATGGTGACTTATTTTGCAGGTGCAATCACTACAAAGGCTGTGATAATATGAAATGTTCCAGTTGTATGTTTGGAAGCGACTGCAGTGGCTGGCTGGCTTGTAAACACAGGCACCAAGGGACAAGTGAGGCGCGCTCAGGCCAAAGACGACGCGTATGGTACGGAACGAATAGCGCTGGTCGGGTTTTTAAGCGCTAGTTGAGGCAAAATTTTAGCGTTAAAATGTATCGCTAGTCAGATTTATCGTTAATCGATGCCATTGCTGGTTGAGGGTCCACTGTACATTTGAAACTTGCTGTGTGGGGCAGGTACCAGTACAATAAAACCAGACTCCTTGCTTTTAAGCAGTCTATTGCCATATTTGTGGTGCTAAACATGCTAGTGGGATTTTCTGGTCACTTCTGCTTCCTCTGAGTGCAGTCTGGGGGGGGGAAAAAAGTACAGGAACTGAGTGGTAAATACTCTCCCGACCTGGCTTCTGTTCTTCAGGTTGCCGGTGTTCTCAAACCCTCTTGATGTTGCCACCGAAATTGGTAATCTTGACTATCTCGGAAGCCTCCTTTATGCCACTCGTTTCATTACTTTGTCTGCAATGTTAGAGCCCTTAAACTGTTTTTATTAAAGAATCTTGTTCCTGTTCCACTTCTGGAACTGGAGGCAACACTCAGCTTGCTGGTCGACAGCTGGGCCTGACGGCATTCATATTCATGTGCTACAGCATGTACATCGGTCAGACCTTGCAGTCCTCTTATGGCTTTCTCATTTGGTCACAAGTT